TTCTCCTGGGGAGTGATATTAAGTGGGCTTTCCATATAAAATAGCATATCTCAGTAGTGCATGCAAGGTGAAAGTGGGGTTATGGGTTGTTTTTCAGATTTAAGGTAAGAGAAAGAAGAAAACTGTGCTTGGAAATACTACTACATCCTTGTCGGTTCTTGAATCCAGCTTTAAAATGAAAAGAATTACAATATTTTCTTAATAAGCATGCATAACATGCCCTTTACTTAATTACTGTATAATTTTTTTTTACAAAAAATTGGAGGTATGAAATATTGAGCTGATGAGTAAAGGTAAATTAGATCTTTATAGCACGTGGGTGTACGGTAGCTTTGTTTCATCCTGTACTCCTTGAGGGCAAAAGTTCATATCATGGCTTCAGTATTGACAATAGTGACATTTCTACTGCCAAGTTAACCTAACCCCTTGCTTATTTTCTGCAGTGTTTATTGGTTTTCTCCTATTTCTTCCCAAATATAATAGCATTCAGTCCCATGTGAGTTTTAAATTCTACAGATGGGAAAAGGCCAAATTACCTGAGAAAGAAAAGAATTCTGCAGCCAAATGAAAAAAGAAATCCCCAAATGTATGAGGCACGAAGGCAGAAAATGCATTTATGAGCAGATTGTGAGGGCTATGTAAAAAACATAAGGTTCTATAATGCATGTAACCTTACAAGTATCTCTGTAACATGTAATAGGTGCCCCAAAGCATTGACATCTGTTTGAAAATAATAAAGGAAAAGATTGCATTTCAGATTCCTAGAGCTGCTTCCAAGTTCTGGGAACTGACAAATTATTCAAAATGTTGAACTTGTCTAACAAGATGGTGGAAGTCTGCTGTGATAATGAACTAAAGTTTAGGGAAAGAAGATTTCATATAATCTCTGTAATGTGGCCAGTTAAATTATAAAGAGAAGTTACTGCAGTGGTGGGATTCAATTTTTTTTTACTACTGGTTCTGTGGCATGGCTTGGTGGGCATGGCATGGCTTGGTGGGTGTGGCTTGTTGGGCATGGCAGGGGAAGGATACTGTAAAATCTCCATTCCCTCCTCACTCCAGGGGAAGGTTACTGCAAAATCCCCATTTCCCCATCAGCTGGGACTCAGAAGGCAGAGAATAGATGGGGGTGGGGCCAGTCGGAGGTAGTATTTACCGAACTACTCAAAATTTCCGCTACCGGTTTTCCAGAACTGGTCAGAACCTGCTGAAACCCACCTCTGAGTTACAGTGAACATTTTATTTTTCCCAAATCTTGTTCAGCTTGGATTCAGTCAGTCAGTCAGTCAGTCTGTCGATGTATATCTTGCCTTGATGCTACAGTACATTTCCTGGTGTAAAAATAGAGATTTTACTATAATCATTTAAACTTAAACATGGCTTAAACATAAAGGAGGCTAGTCCTATGTACTAGAGCTAGTCTAACTATTGCTAGAATCCCACATAATTTCCTATAAATTTATTTCTCAAATTTTTCAGTAACTTCCCTTAATTTGGTATTCAAATAATACAGATATGCTCTAGATTCATTATACCAGCTGTTCCCCACAGTCCATATTCCAGTGCTACCAGCCACTCAGACAACTATCAGCAAGTCTGTTCTTCAGCCATCCATTTCCAAGCCCCTATCTGAGTGTTGCTGACTGTTAGCAGTTGACATGTACATATGAAAACAAACATATACATTTCATGTTTCTTGCAAATAAGTGTGAATGCATTGTACAGGCAAGAACTTGTATTTTTCATCATCCAAAATATGCATTTTTCCAATTTGATTATATCTATACTTCATTCTATCATTTGCATATGAAGAATGGGTATGCATTTTCATAAGTCTTCTATGCAAGCTTCCTTGCATAATCTATTTTTAGAATTTTTTTAAAAAAAAAATACAGGTAGTATTTGAGAAATGAAACAGGACTATGGCAATACTGCAAGTCTCTTAATCTCTACCTTTATCTAACAGAATAAAGGCAGATACTACATAATTTAGGATGTGTTGTCTATCATGATTATAAATTTGTTTCAATCCAAAATTTCCATCCAATATATTTTAAACCTTATTTTACCCTTATTCTTTAATGCCATAGAATAATTTTCAAAACTTGGCTAATGCTATCTTGAGTAATTTTACAGCAATAAGTATGATGGATTTCAGCTGGCAATATGGGAGCCTTTTCTAAGTGATTTTATAGTTTTTTTTCTTTACACTGCAACATTAATTATTATAATTTGTCCAACTGTTAGAATTGCTAGTGTAATGTACTCTTAAAATTACAGTAAGGTTATGTCATCAGCCTCAGTACATATTTGACGATTACAGGCTATTATGAGAGAGGAGGGAAGGGAAGGAGGGAGGGAGGGAAGGAGTATTTTACAAGAAATAAGAAAAGTTATTTTGTATGTAACTTATTTGAAGTGAAATATAATGGGAACTATGTATTTTAGTCCCATCATTTATCAAGCACAGAAGATTTTGCCCATTGTTGTCAAGCTTTCATATCTAAAATTAAATTTGGAATTGGAACATACCCAATTGGACACAAGTTTCTGTTCCTTTGAGATTTTTGCTTTTCTGACACATGCTACCAGTGCAAACAGGGACATTAATTAGATAAAAACACACACTCACATAGACACACAGGCACACATACAAAACCCAGGCACACATTCAAAGCTAACAATGGAAAACATCAAAGAAAAGCTTGACTTTGGAGAGAGTAGGGTGGAAGGGGGTAAGGTGTTTTTGTCCTATTGAGCTTCGGTTCAGGAGAGCCGGTAGTGGAAATATTCATAGGAGAGAGAACCGGCTCACTATGAATGTCAGTTTGGCTCTCCCCCCAACCTCCACGTTATATTTATTTAGCATGTAAGACTGTAAGGCGTGGCTGAGGGGATTGCCATGCCTCAGCTGTTTTTTTCCTAATGTGCTTGCGCAAAGCAATCGCGCACAAAGCACATGCGCAATGCGAACCGGTGGTAAAACAGATTAGAACCCACCATTGATATATCTAGTGGATTTTTAAAAAATTTACTACCGGTTCTGTGGGTGTGGCTTGGTGGGTGTGGCATGGCTTGGTGGGCATGGTAGGGGAAGGATACTGTAAAATTTCCATTCCCACCCCACTCCAGGGGAAGGTTACTGCAAAATCCCCACTTCCTCCAAATCAGCTGAGACTTGGGAGGCAGAGAATAGATGAGGGCAGGGCCAGTCAGAATTTTTACTACCGGTTCTCCGAACTACTCAAAATTTCCACTACTGGTTCTCCAGAACTGCTGAAACCCACCTCTGATATGATTGGAGTTTTACTCTTTTGAAAAAAATAAGACTACAAAAATAATACTGCTGTATGAGACAAGGGCAAGCAACAAAGAAGAATGTGTATCCCATATCACACAATCCTTCTCAAATGCAACATTTTCATTTTAATGGATGGCTGAATATGAGTTCTGGCCAGCACCGTGGGAACCATGTGAGCATGATCTGGTTGCTTGGCAACCCATTTGCACCTATGACTGACTGCCAAACACCCTGTGATCACATAATTGCCATTTGCAACCTTCCATGCTGGCTCCCTCAGAAAGTTACAGGTGAAGCCAGCAAGGAAGATCACAAGTCATTAAGGTAAGTCTGCCCTACCCGCGCAATTTCCCTCAGCCCCTCTGCATCAGTGTAGTGCTGGTCATTCATACACCTTTGTACACCTACCACAACCTGTGTGGCGCCTCTTGCAAATCCTTTCTAAATCTTGTGGATCTCTTGCAAACCCTCACACACCCTTCCTGTCCTGCACAGCACCTCTAACCCAACCTTGGGCACCCTTCTGACCCTCCTCTACTCATGCAGACCTCCCATGCACACACTCAATCCATGCTACACCTGCTATGCACCCTTGCAACCCATCCCAACCCAGATGGTGCCTTGGGGTCCCATCTCATCTTCACACCTCTGCCTCTTTCTCACCCTTTCCAATTCATGCAGTGCCTCTTGCATACTCCTGCATACACTTGTACACCATTCCCATGCCACATTATGCCTCTTGCATACCCTCCCAAATCTTTTATCCTCTTCTTGCTTCCTTCCCCACCTTTTGTGAATGCTCCAACACTGGATAGATTGGACAAGCTTTTGTCTGAAATGGAAACCTCTGAAAAGTTTTCTTGCCTGAGCAAGGAGTTGGACTAGATCTCCAGGGGTCCTTCCAACTCTGTTATTCTGTATTCAGTTTTTTAAACTTGCAACTTCTTGCTGGCTTCCCCATTGCTTTTGGTTGTGGGAACCTGGCAGGAAGTTGCCTCATCTAAGGACAGGGTGATTCAGTTAATGACATCAACTCTGAATGCAGGGAATTGCTCTTGATAAATGATGAGGGTAGGCTTTACAATCATGTTGCTTAGCAGTAGAAATTCTGATCACAATTCTCATTGTAAGTTGATGATTACCTGTATATGGATACTACACCTGGATTTCATGTAAGTGTTTACACATGGTAATAATCTGAAATTAACTGTTTAAAAATGTGACCAAGTATGTCTGTATTGTGCCCCAAGGTGGTTAAAGACTGTGTAATTTTTATTTTAAAACTGACAGTCTGTCAAAATAGCCATATATGCTATTTGCAACTCATCAATCGTTATAGAACCTTTTTCATTCAACAGACACTAGATTGTATGGCTACACTATGAAACTGTAATCAAAACAAACGTAACGTCCACCTCTCAGCATATCATTTTCAGGCACTTTCCAGAATGCAATGTGATAATTATTTTTCTGAATATTTGCCAAGCACCAATGAGAAACTGTGCTCCATTTCAGAGAACAAAATATCAAAAATATATTACAAAGAACAACTATTTCTTTGTATTCCAAATTCTATTATCTTCCTGTCAATCAAAACTCAGATGTTCTCATTCCCCCTATTTTCAGAATTAAAGCAAAACAAAACAAGAATTTATCAGATTACAGATGCTCAAAACTTTACGTAAATGGATCTGGAGACAACCCGTGGCCTCCTAATTATTGATAGTTTGCAAGTTCTTATGCTGCGCAGGTGGGTACGTCGGTGCACTGATAAGACTTTAGTAACATTTGGAGTACTGTAGATGACCTAGTCTTCATGTAGGCAATCCACAGAAAGAAATGGGTATGTACATGCTTTTTTTCCCCCCGTGACATTAATATATTTCTATCTGAAATGCTGACTGAAGTGAAGAATTTGGGTAGGTAAGTTGAAAGGTAAGAGAAATGAATTCTTCAGAGGTATTTCATCAACTCTTGGTTAAGAACTCTTTCATCTTTAAATCACATTTGCAGGCAGGACTGTCCTTGGGAAGGGTTTTCTCATTTCATTTTCTTTCTCAAGATTAAGACTATTTCTGTATTTCCAGCTGAAGGACCTGAAGGACAGGTTGGGGGCAGAACCTCCTGATATATCATCAAGTCACTGTTGACTTTTAGTGACCGCATAAGATGACATTCTATCTCTATGGTCCCTAAGAGTCAACACTGATTTCATGGCACATCAGTGCTTCTGCTGGTATGTAGCATAAGATTAGGAAATGAATATATATAATCTTAACATACTTTTCTTATCATACTGTATATATGTTAGTTGCTTGGTTATTTATTTAGAGGGGTCATAACAGACTATAATCAGCCAGTGCCGAGTGGCCTAGTTTTCCTTAACTCTGGAAACTTAATTTTCTTCCAGGATTTGGCTCATCTTCTGAATTTACACTACATGAAAAGATGCACTGATGAGAACCAGAATATCTATTTCATATATTTACCACCATTGGATTGAACTGTAAGAGCAATGTCCTACAGCATCATTTCTATTCACAAGTTCATCCAAGCCATTTTGAAGCTGACTCTGCAATAGCCTTCACTCCTGCAGACTTTACAATGGAGAGAACAATCAGCAAACACTAAGCACCAAGCGGTGCTGTATTTCCAGCTGTATTTTCCCCTTCATGGGGAAAAGCAATAAATAAAATTGAAAATGTCCCATTGCTGTCAGCATTTCCAGATACAAGCCTTTCTTTGGCTACTCTTCTAAAAGTGAACAATAGCAGCAAACCACCATTTCTTTGTTATATTTAACTGATACCTGTGATATTATACAGTCTAATTTGTAGCTGAACAACCCCCCCCTCCCCAGCTGTAGTCATGGCTATACAGTATGTTGCTGTGCTGGTGGCTAAGTAAATGAAAATAGGACATACAGACAGGTATCAGGAACAGGATGCTGCATGTGGGAGAGATATGGCTTGTCCTAGTCCTGGTCCCATAAGTACCCAAAATTTTCTCAGCTCCTCATGCTGCACAAAGACTAAGAAGAGAAATTGTTAGTAAACATCACTGCAAGGCAGTTATTTGAAGATACAAAGCAGCCTGTTGTCTAAGAGAAAAAGGAAATAGACAAAGCTCTTGTTGATATCACCCTTGAAGACAAACAGACTCAGAGCAGCTGCTAGAGAGACAATCTTGTGAAGTCATCAAGTCAGCCTTCCCCTTTGAGGACCCATGAATGGAACAGTATGTTAGCTGAAGTTTAGCAGGCAGAATGACTTCCTGCCAATGGAGAAAATGTGCTATCCATAAACACAGCAGAGCTTCAGCACTGCAAATATATATATTTGCATATATATGTAAAAATATAAATATTTTCTTTTCATTGTAATTTGAAATATATCACAGCTGAGCCAAAAATAAATTAGTTCAGTTGATGAACATAGAAGGCAGCATTTCAGCAAAAGTCTGAAACTGATTTTGGAGATTCTGGCAAAGAGACCTTTTAAAGTCTCTTTAAAGTCTCTTTTAAAATGGTCTAAAGCAGAGGTGTGAAACTCGTGATGACACTTTGTCATAACGTGATGTATCACAACTTTTCCCCCCCTTTGCTGGGCATGGTCAGTGAATGATGCATCCAGGCAGCGGGCCACAGGTTTGACACTCCTGGTCTAAACCAATGTTTCCCAGTATATTTCTTAGATATAAATTCCACTGTACTGGAATGGAATGGAATGCTTCTGGGAAAGAATGTAATGTAAAGTACATAGTCCAGGAGAGAAGGAATTGCAGTCTTAATATTGGGAGAGGTAGCTTGAGAAAAGTTGTTAATAGTTAACATCCTCAAGTTTTTAGAATCACTGGAAATGTGTAAATTAAATGGAGTCACTATTCATTATATATTAAAATTTGGATTGCTTATGAAATTTTGAAGTAGACACCTGAGAAAATGGAACACAAAGGAGCAATATATCTAGGGCTCCCCAATCACATTTGGCTGTAACCACTAGATGGCAGCAAAACATTACTTCCCCTGTCTCCCTTTTTAATTGCCACCTAGTGGTCAGGTGACAGTAGCTAGGTATGGTAGCCCTCTAAGTATTGTAGTTGGTTCCATCTAATAAACATTTATTCAAACCATATCAGAAGATAGAACATTACATTTCATGATAGAGTTGCATAAGGGACTGATATCCAGCGTGCTGGACAGAGGCTATCCAATTTGGTAGCTTTAATATATTTGGGGTCTGATTATGTTTTGCTGTTGGATATGGCGAGTAACATAGTCCTAAATAGCTAGAAGATGCCATGCACTTTCCTACTGCTTCAGTAAATTAATTTTCACCCATATACAGCCGGACTCACACAGAGATGCAGTGCCTTTATGAGCACAGTATAGATAATAGTTCCTATTCCAGAGAGCAACACCCCATATCTTTTTTCCCCTTCTATATGAAAAGCAAAGCTTTGAAAAGGATGTTTCCCTTTTGTGTAGTGAACCTGAAATATGCCTTTTATTGAAGTCTAGTATTCACTTAACTTTGAACAATTTCTACTACCTTCTATTGTTAATAAGAGCAACTCATCAAATCCAAAGCCAATTTCTTGTGTACTGCATTCTGTTAGCCATTTTCATCCAATCGTCACTAGATCTAAAAACTTTCAAATTTCCCATACATTCAGAATTGAAAAGGGCAATGAAAGAAAAAGAACGCTGGTAAAGAATGGACTTTTCCTTCACAATCTCATTAAAGAACTATCGTTGGTTTAAATACGTTTCAACTTTTCACCAAAGGCAACACATGGATGTTTGTGCTACCTTCTTATGTGCCGGGTTCACCGCTAATCTGTTCAATTCTTTCTGCATCATTATAAGGGATCTTTTGTTCAGAAGATAGTCAGTTACTGCAGAGAAGGAAAACCAATTTGAAGCACTTCTTATCTTTGTAATACATTAAACCTTTTCTTTGTATTTTCAATTCTTTGCTTTTCCCCATAAGGGAACTAGGCATACACATGTTCCAAAGCAAAATAGAATGCGCGTATGCAAATGGAAGAGTCTGCGGATGGCTTTTCATGCTCAAAGTAGACCCTGATCTGACTTTTGTATGACAAAATCAAATTATCACACATCTGCAGTTCAATGGATGCTCTCCATAGAATGGATGTCATGAAGAGTCATATAAGCGATCCGAACCTTTTGATCATTTTTGCTCACCCAAAAATATCTGCTTTCCACTGTTATATTAAATACTTTTACTAAGGAAAAAAGCACATTACTTCTTTCGACAAGTCCAAACAGTCACCACAGATAAAATCTTGAAGTGCAGTTGCTCTTCCCAGTAGCCACAGTATAAAGTTTGAGCTTGTGTGTGTGTGTGTGTTACTTTAGTAACTCAGTTAAAAGAGCAAAGATCTTTTGGGAAAGAATTATCAACCTACTCCAATTATTTATATATATTTATTTATTTTGTCAAGTATGTATTAGATAATATATATCAGTATAAGCATGAATTGAATACATAAAATGAATGCAAATAAAGGGAACATTAGGACAGGGACGGTAGGCACGCTGGTGCTCTTATGCACGCCCCTTACAGACCTCTTAGGAATGGGGTGAGTTCAACAGTCGACAGTCTTAGGTTAAAATTTTGGGGGTTTTGGGATGAAACCACAGAGTCAGGTAGTGCATTCCAAGCACTGGCCACTCTGTTGCTGAAGTCATATTTTCTGCAATCGAGTTTGGAGTGGTTCACTTTAAGTTTATATCTGTTGTGTGCTCGTGTATTGCTGTGGTTGAAGCTGAAGTAGTCATTGACAGGTAGGACATTGTAGCAGATAATTTTATGAGTTATGCTTAGGTCATAACGAAGGCAGCATAGTTCTAAGTTTTCTAAGCCTAGAATTTCAAGTCTGGTGGCATAAGGTGTTCTGTTTCGAGCAGAGGAGTGGAGGACTCTTCTTGTGAAATATTTCTGGACACGCTCAATTGTATTAATGTCCAATATGCAGTGCAGGTTCCAGACAGATGAGTTGTATTCGAGAATTGGTCTAGCAAATGTTTTGTATGCTCTGGTTAGTAGTGTGATATTACTGGAGAAGAAGCTACACAAGATTAGGTTAACAACTCTTAATGCCTTTTTGGAGATGTTGATACAGTGGGCTTTGGCACTTAGATCATTAGATATGAGTACTCCAAGGTCCTTGACAGAGTGAGGGTCATCTACAAGGTCGTGTCCACTCAGATTGCATTTTGTGTTCTAAGATTCTTTTTGCCAATGTGTAAGACAGAGCATTTGTTGGTTGAGATTTGGAGTTGCCAATTGTTTGACCATTCTGACACAAAGTCAAGGTCTTTTTAAAGGGTAGCAGAATTGTTGGTGTGTTAAATAGTTTTACATTGGTGAAGAGAACGCAGTTGCTTATAATATGATTGCAAAGGTCATTTATGTATAGTATGAAGAGTGTTGGTCCTAGAACACTGCCTTGGGGGACACCACTATTAACAGGTGCAGGATTTGATAGGGCGCTCCCTATTTTGACCACTTGTGACTTCCTAAATCCAATATGCTGGGGAAAAAATGAAAATAATTTGGGGATGGGGAAAAATCTCACCTTATTTTAAGTACTTACTGTCATAACTCTGGTATGAAAATCTATTCTAACTTTACTCCTTGTTAGGATTTGACAACTTGAAGTAAGAAGGAGAAAGATACACTTTTTTGCCCATTAGATTACATATAAAAGGTCACTGGCTATTGGTTTAGTAGTATCTGTCAAACAGAGATAAATGTATGCCATTTTTTTTTTTAGAAACCGTGTTGTTGATGCTTAAATCTCCATAGGGCTTATTTTCAGCTATTGACCTTTTCTAACCAGGAAACATGTCATACCAGATCTCATATGCTTGAACCATGAAAATAAAACCTTCATAAAGGAATTATATAATGTCTGGCTGAAGGGTATGGTAAAGAATTACACTAAATTAATCCTGAGGTGGTATCTGTTGTGGAATTTATTCATCTCATCAAAAAGGCAGTTCAGTTATACCCATTAAACTGTCCTTTTAAATTATTATTTTTTTCATATGATATTGGGATTAACATTATGGCTAGCATTTTCTATGATGGTTGTCTATCTCCAGGCTCAATAAATAATGCAACCCAATTTTTTAATCTCCCAGAATTAGCATATTTCTCACAGGGCTTTTACACATGGATGGTGGGGGAGAAGAGGTAATTTTCATTTTAAAATAAAGGAATCTCTTTTAAGGCTTAGTGAAGAAAATATGTAGTTATTTTAGTGTAATAATTATTTTTAATTATTACACTGCTCAAGCTTCGTTGCATGACCATTTCAAGAAGAAGTATCGTTTGCCCTATGCTTGTTACAAGTTATTGATTTTATCAACTGCACATACCTCTGATATTTCAGATATTTTAAAAAAGGAACTGGGTTCTATAAAACATTGCCTTGATTTAGTTTTATAATTTTAGCACATTTTAAAAAGAATTGGATACCTGATTTAGGTTAGAAAAAATACAAAAGGAACCCTAACCTATGACTATCACTAAGTGTTGTATCTTATGATTCTCAATGAATGTATTTTTTTTAATGAACACTGAGAGCATATGCACCAAAGACAAATTACTTGTGTGTCCAATCACATTTTGCCAATAAAGAATTCAATTCAATTCAATTCAATTCAGCTCTGC